AAAGGTCTTGATGATTGTAATATCGGGATGAGCTTATATCTTTAAAAACATCAATAGTTAAGAAAGTACAGTGCAATTTAGCATAAGAAACGACCTTAAATCTTGAGAAATATTGACATTTTTAAAGATATAAACTCATCCCGACGTTACACTCATCAAGATCTTTTATTTGAGTACCTACATCAATTTTTCATATATTTATATATATTATATATATGTGAATATGAAAAATATATGAAAAATTGATGTGGGTACTCAAATGAAAGGTCTTGATGAGTGTAACATCGGAATGAGCTTATATCTTTGAAAATGTCAATAGTTCACTAGATACAAGATCATTTCTTAATTATGTATCTAGAGATAGAGCATTTTCGAATACTTATCATAATAAATTAACTATCGGTAAAAATGATATGAAACCTTGAAAATACACAAGTTCAAATCAAGACCTTTACAATGTCACTAAATTTCACTAAAAAAAACCTATTTTATCATAATATAAATACACTGACCACAAAATTTTGCTTATTCTCTTAATAATATAGATTGTTAAAAGTAAATTGTCAAAAAACTAATTGTTTTTTGCAACTCTACGTAAGCTTTAAAAATTTTTTTCAATATATTAGCATCAAAAAATGATTATAATTTTCTTAAACAATCTAGCAAAAAAAATCGGAGAGCAGTGTTTTTATCGAGCAGCCTGCACCTTTACAGACCAGCATGCGACCTGTACCCAAGTGCAGCACAAAGCAGTTTGTGATTGCAGCGAAGGATACCACAAAGTCGTCATTGGAAGGCCTAACAAAAGGGTCTTCTGTGCAGAAGGTAAATCAATACTCTCTCTTTCACCGAGCATAAAGTTACTGATAATAATATCCTAAAATATAATATAAATGCGACGGATTTTAAATAGATCTGGTGCTGATATCAACTGATACGTCGACTCTGCTGGGAATAGCGTCAGGGATTGCTGTATTGACAGGGCTGATGTGCTTCGTCTTGAAGCTATTCAGCCGTGCGAGGTACTCGAGGCCTCGACATTACGCCAACGCCAATCACGCTCCCCCTATGGTTTTTTCTAGTGATACAGGTGAGTACGCTCTTAATATCACCGCTTTCTGTCTAGCTCATCATAATATGTCAGTCTTTACTTCTATATTTTATTATAAAATCCAATACAACGTACAGACCTTTACTTTATTGGTACCCTTCAATGTATCTAAATGTGATTGCACGTACATTATATTATAAATTATAAATTATTATAAAAAAGGTTAAATTAACCTTTAAATGAAGGATGTGCTGAAAGGACGAGACATTTCTGCACTCCATTTTTTTTTGTATAAATTTTTTATCTAGGTAATTTTCTTCTTAAGAAAAAAATTACCTAGATAATACTTAATTGCTGAATAGAACGAACGAAGCAAGCTCTTGACAAACACGTAGGTGTAAATATTGTATAAGAAGTAATATGTAATGTGTAAAACATTATCTATGTACATTAATGCATGATTATATGTTAATCCAGTCTAAAAGGTAATTGGACTTTAATATTAAGTGAAAAAGTTAGAGAAAATTTTCTACTCAGCGACAACTTTTCGCAGTTGACCTTTTAGCGAAGGATTTGAGGAAAAATAATGCTCAAGTTTAATATAATGGTGCCGGGTTTAATGAGTATGTAAATCCGATAATCAACAGCGAGAGTACGCTCTGTACTTATAATCCCCGACACTACTATGAAGATTATATTTAAGGATAACGAGCTTTTTTTTTTTTAAGAAGAAAAAATGACAAAAACAATAAAATTTAGAGCGCAATGCGAAAAAGTATTGTGATAAAATAATTTTCTTGGATCAAGATAGTTTTTCTACCCGTGTATTGATTGTACACTGATAAAAAACTAAATTGCTATAAGAGGAGAAATTTTAAACTTGGAAAATAATTTTTAATAATTAAACCGATTAAACCGAATTTTTAAACCGATTTTATCTTACGACTATATCCTGGACATAAAATTTTTCTTATTCTCTTAATAATATAGATAATTATAGAGTCAAAAATTTTTTTTTAAACTCACAATTAGTACATTAAAAGACTGTCAGTTTTTTTAAAGTTTCTGACAGTTAGTTTTTTTTATAACTAAGAAACTGGTACAGAACTGCAGAGTACGTATGTAATCTAAGTTAAATATCCAATTTTTAATTGAATTTATCCCGGGTTATAGATGGTCAATCGACTTCAAATTTTAAGAGTAATTGTATCATCATGTCCTTAATTAATAAGTATACAAAAATTTAGAATTTTCTGACGGTACACTGATAAAAAAATTGACTTGACTCAGGAGCCAAACTCTTGGACCAAGAATTCCATATTGAAGAAACTGATTTTCTTGTGCCAAGAGAATAAATTCTTGAGACAAGAAATATTTACTTGAATCAAGAATAATTTCTTAACTCAAGAATTTATTCTCTTGACTTAAGAAAATCATTTTCTTCAAAATGGTATTCTTGGTTCAAGAGTTTGGCTCTTGAGTCAAGTCAATTTTTTTATCAGTGTATAGAACTAAATTAATAAAGTTTGGAACCTCATTAACATAAAATTTGAAAACTTTAATAAAGTAATATTTATGCGAGCGTCAATAACAGTTCCAACAAATATGAGACGGTAACCAATAAAGTAATTAAATGTCATTATATATTTATTAAATTTAGTTGCTGTAAAATTTCGGTATGATTAGCAAACAAAATGAAATAAATTTGTCTTAACCACGACAACTACCTTAACTAAAGTTGTACGGACACTAATGCACTTTTGAAGATCAGAAGCTAATTTTTCGATGTTATGAATTGCTATCTCATGCGTCTAAATTAATTTTTTGGAATAGATCTGATGAAGGGTTATCCTTTGATAAATTATTAAAAAATTGAAATTTAACGTGTAGCCTATAGAGACTATTGGCGGATTGCACATATATCGATTTATGTGACTACCTCACAGGAAGATTAAAAAACAAAAAACTTCTATTTCAATCAATCAACTTTCGTAGAATACGTTAAAAATAAAATAAAAATTTTCTGACGAAGGCTTTTAAAGATATTTTAAATCTATTTAAAAATAAATAAACCACGTGATTCAGCGCAGTGTGGCAACTTTGCACAGAATAAAACGCGCGAATTTTGAATTTTAATAATTCCTGTATATTTTTATGGGTTATGTTTTTCAACTCAACACTACACAATGAGATAAATATAAACAGCTGTTAAGCGCGGTGTTGTCAGGTCCGAGTTTTGTGAAAAAATACTTGAGTCAAACGTTGACTATTTATTGTTTTTGTTAGTTAAATTATTAAATTATTTTAATTAATTAATAATAATGTAAGGTAACGATTAAATTATAGTAATAAATTTTCGTATTCAAATTTTTAATTTTAAAGTCCGTGCAACATTAACGACAGTAAAATTTTTCAAAATAATTTTCTTTATCAAGACTTTTCTTCTCTTAAATCAAGTAAAATTTTTTAGACATTAAGCTGATAAATATTGACGACATAACAGTGAGGATCTTTATATCCAGAATTGAAACGATCGACGATTTTAATAATACATAATCCAAGAAAACTCACCCTCGATTTCAGGAATCCCGTTGACGCTTTCGGGGCGACCGTCTTCGCGGTCGAGCCAAAGAAGCGACAGCACCCCCCTGAGTTGCGGGACATTTCGACGACCCAGCAGTGGAGGAAGTAGAGGACCGCTAGTGCCGGCTTCGAGAGCAGGTGCGGCTCGTGCCGCCGCCATCTTGCTTATTTCGTGCCACCTTCAGGCAACTAAGGACGGGAACAAACACCGACGTACCCTCAGTGACGTTGCTGAGGGCTCCACTGACGGCCTCGGTAGACCCTAAAATATTAAACGTTTATATCTCTACGACGACATATTTTACATTAATATTAATATTAATATATACACTGTCATATAAGTACATGTATATTTATGATCTGTGTTTGTACCTTCTGATCTGTGATTCATTATTATATCTTATATCCTTCGTTGTTATCCCGACTGTACTCTCTGTGTTTGATGCACAGGATATCTTCAGTGTTTATGCTTCCCTCTGTCTCTGTTCGGCTGCACTGTGACTAGATAAAAAAGGAATTTTATTGTTATTTTTTTTTTTTTATGACTGATGGATAAATTCAAAGCTTTTTTCGTCGGAGCTTGCCGTTCGCAAATAATAACAACTAAACCTAAACTATTCTTGTATCAGCACTGTCTTCGTTGATTATTTTTTGTGTCAATTGCAATATGTGTACCGTGCCGTTATCGATGTTTCATTTTTTATGTCTTTACTTTATTTATTTTACTTTTGTGTCAGTCAAGAAAAAAAATTTTTAAGAGAAAGAGATATTTATTAACTTATTATTATTTTTTACATTTTGTAAAATATTTCTTTACTAGTATACGTTGCGCGCGCAAGCGCGCGTGTGACTGTTGATATGGAATTATCTGTATTTTCATGCTTATGATATATTTGACCGATCACGTTACGAACAGTTTGCTCTTACATGATATATTTTCATATTTTTCATCTAAATTATAAGAGTGGATTTTAGATAATGCCAATAATTTTCTGATAATTCAATTAATTAAATATTATTTTAATCAATATTTTTCATTTAAAAATCATGAAGAGAATTGGCTTAGTTAATTATTTTTTATTTGATGGATAATTTGAAATTTTTTAATAGCGCATTAATTTAAAAAAATCATACTTTAATTGATAGATTTTTAAAAGAATAATTACAAAGTTTTAATTGTTGAATTTTTTAGAAAATTTGATTAATGCATTTTTTTAAACATGAATAATTAAAACTAGTAACCTTGCAGTCACTATGTGGCTTGTGAACTATAAATAAATAAAATTTTGCTTTATTAAATCATGACTTTTGTTAAATTACACTGAACTTTCTTAACTATTGACGTTTTTAAAGATATAAGCTCATCCTGATGTTACACTCATCAAGAGCTTTCATTTGAGTACCCACATGCATTTTTGATATATTTTTCATATATAGATATATATAATATATATAAATATATGAAAAATTGATGTGGGTACTCAAATGAAAGGTTTTAATGAGTGTAACATCGGGATGAGCTTATATCTTTAAAAATGTTAATAGTTCTCAAGATACATGGTCATTTCTTAATTATTATTTTTTTGAGATATAAGCTCATTTCGATGTTACACTCATCGAGACCTTTCATTTGAGTACCCATATGACATTTTGATATATTTTATATATATGGTATTTATGAAATATATAAATATACAAAATATATAAAAAATTGATGTGGGTACTCAAATGAAAGGTTTTAATGAGTGTAACATCAGGATGAGCTTATATCTTGAGCTTATATCTAAAAATATCATTAGTTGACAAGATACAAGGTAATTTTTCAATTATTGACATTTTTTGAGATATAAGCTCATTTCGATGTTACACTCATCAAGA